CAAATTTAGTTATTGGAACGTTTATTTTTAATATTCTACGAACATTAAAATGTCTAGCTTTCTTGTTGTTATAAGAACGTTATTTAAAGGTTCCTAGAAGGTTTCTTTAACGTTCTACTATTTATACTAAAATGTTTGAATGTTAATTTGTAACATTTTCTCTCAACATTATGAGAACGTTCAAGTACAAATGACATCATAAGGACGTTATGATGATAATGTTGCTCTATGAATGTCTTCTCAACATTTTGAGAATGTATATCAAATATTAATATAAAATATTCCGTAAAATAAGATTTTTTTTCCTAACATTAATATAACTCTTTAAAAACGTTGTTTTATTAACGTTTTCTCACCATTTTGAGAATTATAGCCTATCAAAGTTGCAATAACGTTCCATAAAATATTTTTTTTTATTATGGATAACTGTTAAAAAACGTTGTGAGAACGTTCCCTGTAGTCAGATATGCAAAAACATATGGAATTACTGAGATATTATCAGAATAAATGGTGCACAGCTTACACTGTACACCAGGTGAAATCAACAATATCTAAACAAACACAACCACGAGCTTCATAAAATGCAATTTATTTGGAATCAGTGACGCTTAAATATCATCACGTGACTGTGGTGTTTATACTGCGCTGGATAATGAGCTTCAAACACGCGAAACCGAATGAAAAGGTTCCTGCAAGCTGCCGGAGAACATGAGAAACGCGCGGAGGAGATATGAACATCGCCTGATGCGTCCTCATCATATGGCTCATCATAACGTGTCATAAGCGCCGCGAGGGGCTCCATGTTTGGGCTCCACTGCTGCTGGAGTCATGAGAGGCTCTGTGGACCTTCCTCCTGCCTCACTGTCTCATCGCAAACTCTTGTGCACCCTCTGGCGCTTGCTAGACTCCAAAACTTCTTTGTGTTGCCTGCTTAGCAGATTGTCTTCCTTGTCTCTGAGGCTGCTCATTATTCAGAGACAGCCGGAGCTCAGGTCATCTGCAGCTGCTGTTCTGAAGAAGAAGAAGAAGAAGAAGAAGAAGAAGGAGGAGGAGGAGGAGGAGGAAGAGGAAGAGAAGCAAGAGGGAAGATGGCGAACACCCTGCTGCTCTAGACAGGGAACAAGTTCGCAGAAGATCCAGCATCCAGCCGTGAGTATTCGGTTTCACAACCGTCCACATCTCGCCTCGCTCGTGACGCTCCATGATAACGCGCTGGAGCTCGGGATCCGTGGAGAGGCGCTTTGGGAATGACCTGGAAATGCGCTTTTAATGCTTCCCAGACCCGAGAGGAGCCCCAAACCGAGCGAATCCTCCAAAAACGGGCACCTTGGAGCTCGTGCAGTGACGCGTTGCTGGAGCGTCTCCTCGCGTGCGCCGCGCGTTTTCCTCCACTGGAAGGAGCGTCGCGTCGCGCCGCCGGTGAGCGCATCCGAGCGGCGAAACGCGATGTGACTGGCGCTTTCTTGAAGCCATTGCACGGATTTGGAGCTCCGCGTCCATTAGTCAGTCAGTCACAGACGGACGCGACGCGTGCAAACGCGCGCGCTACGCTCCCGTGACGTGACCAGAGTGTCTCAATGTGGCGGCGTGAAAATAGCCTTGTTGTTTTTTCCGCGACGGGCTCCAGGTGTTTCTCGCCGCAGGTGTAGAATGACACCGAGGCTTCCTCCAGAAAATGGAGTCTGGAGAACAAAGGTTGACTTTCCCCTGCTGCCACTGGCCACTGCATGGAGCTGGACGCGCGTTTGGTGACATTGCACGCTCGTTTGCACTTTTTTCTTCTTCTCTCTATTAGCTTGATTCTGCCTGAAGTTTGCCCTGCGATAATATGTTATACCGCGGTATATCGCGGTGCCGCTTTTCGCGTAAAACGTTGAGTTTAGCGTGTTTGTGCCGGTCTGTAATGTTCTACAGTGGCCTACAGACGCTCCTCACGTAGTTCTGTAGAAGATCTCACAGCCAGGCTCAGAAATTAAGTTTAGTTTCATTTTAATGGATGCATGCATGCATTGCACGCTGAAGGCTGTAGAACTTGCAAATGCTGAACTTTTCTTTATATAGGCTACGCTTTTCTTTATGCACCTGTGTGTCGTTTGGGAGCCGATCTGAAGCTTCTGCCTGGAAGTGAGAGTGAATATCTGTGCACTTGCCTGGCTGTAGGTTAATAATCTGATATGCATGTGTGATTGTGACATGTTCGGCGTTGCACACCATCAAAGCGTTTTGGTGAAAGGCGGTTGTTTCTCCATTGGCTCTGTGTGTGTGTCCTTCTGCAATCGCTCTGGCCACTGTGAAATCCCGCTGACAAAGACAGCGCACCACACACACACACACACACAGTCAATGCGACAGACGCAGGCCAGAGGAACTCAAAATGGTGGCACGTCTCCCATGTCAGGGCAAACAGGTTCTCTCACATGAAGGTTACTGGCTGTTTTTAATGGCCTGCTGCTGTCTGATGTTTCTAAGCAGGTTCTTTGGGGTTTATTGAGGCTGTGAGATCATTCTTTGTAATGTTTTCACTGGTGATTGAATGCAACAAAAAGCATGTAGTGTTTTATGGGTTTGCAGATGGTTTAATTTGTCTTTGCAACTCAGTTCTTCCACCTCCAAATCAGTCTTAGATGCGTTTTGGTTTGTTTGGGAAGGATTTTGGGGGGGGGATATGTGTGTAGTTTCACAGTAATGACTTTGATCTGACCTGGAAAAAGCTAAAAGCCGTCTTATGCAACTGTTGAGCACACGGCGATGGCTCATGGTTCAAGCTCACCGCTGACCCATTTTTCATGAAGATCCAGCCTGTTCATCTCGCTGTTGATTGTGAACTTTGGAGAGAATATGTACTGTCAGTTTGCTTAACAATGATTGGTATTGTTGTAGTATTTCTGGCCGTTGATCAGGTAGATGGTTGTGTGCGGAAGTTTGTGTCAAATCCGTTTATGACTCTCAGAGAAGCTCATTGCACGTCCTTTGTTGTCTCTTTGTCATGTTGAACACAGAAAACGAATGAATAGACACAAAGGCATCATCTATTTTTAATGATAAACCAATGAGGGTGAAGTTAACAAGGTAAACATGAGCTGTTCCAAACCCTAGTGAGCTGCCCTAAAAGTGCTGCTCTTTACAGTGTTTGAGATTTAATGCATCTATTTGTATAGCATTTTCACAGTGCATATATAATTTCAAAGCAAGCATGTCTGATCACTTCCTCAATTACAGAAGAATAATGGATTATTTTAACTATGTGTGCTGATTTATTAGGGTTTTGTGTAATTAACTAAGCAGCGTGTTCATGTCAAACTCTGTTCATGTTAGTTCATGTTAGTTATGTTCATAATATGACCCCTATGTAGACAGCATGAAGCTCACTAGGGTTCAGAACAGCTGTAGCTGTAGTACCTGTTGACTTTATTCCACATTTCAAGCGGTATATTCATGCAGAGCTGCTGTTAGTGAGTGTTTTGTAATGAACGCAGTGTCATTTTCCAGGTGTGCATTATGAGATCAGGCTATATTCCCAGAGCTGTCATCCAAATAATGTACAAATTGAAGGCTATAAAAACAAATATAGTAAATGTATCTATGTAAACGATGCTGCACATTATAAATAAAAATATAATTTAAATGAGCACACTGTGAAAATAAGTTGCTTTTATTATTAACTCATCAAAACAATCAAACCTCTTTTAACTTCAAGTTTTAAGTTACAAAATTCAACTAAACTAGATTTAAAAAAATTTAAAGTTGCTGAGTTGTTTTATGACTGTTGACTAGTCTTAAGCAGCCTTGAGTAGAATTAGTTTTTGCTGTGATATTGGTAATAAGATTTGTGAAATTTGTTTATCGTGTTGGTTGTCAATTATTTTCATTATTGATTTTAGGGCCGCACAATTTGGGGATAAAAATCTAATTGCGATTTTTCTGATAACAAGTTGTGATCGCACTTTGTGTGTGATGTATAATTATGCATGTGGCTATAAAATAACAATGATAATCATTTATGATGATTACTATTATTTTAAATGATTATTTTTATTAGCGATAAAATATTAAACAAAATGTAAATCGGGTTTAATAAAAAATTATTAATACTTATTATTAATACTAGTATTAGTAATTATTAGTATTAGTAATACTAATAATTACATTACAGCTGTAAAATTACAATATGTGAGCCTGCAGCACAAAAGCAGTCTTAAGTCGCTGGGGTATATCTGTAGCAATAGCCAACATTACATTGTATGGGTCACAATTATAGATTTCTCTTTTATGCCAAAAATCATTAGGATATTAAGATCATGTTCCATGAAGATATTTTGTAAATTTCCTACCGTAAATATATCAAAACTTAATTTTTGATTAGTAATATGCATTGCTAAGAACTTAATTTGGACAACTTTAAAGATGATTTTCTCAATATTTGGATTTTTTTTGCACCCTCAGATTCCAGATTTTCAAATATTGTCCTATCCTAACAAACCATACATCAATGTTAAGCTTGTTTATTCAGCTTTCAGATGATGCATAAATCTCAATTTCACAAAATTTACCCTTATGACTGGTTTTGTGCTCCAGGGTCACATATAGTACTTATAATGTTAATAACGGTTGTATTAATTTCTTCTTTTGGTTGAGCTTTTATTTTGTTGGAAAACCGAAAAAGCGCTTATTTTTTTTAACAGCTGCTTTGATAATCACACCAAGCCACATCACAATTTTTAGCTTTATTTCAATTAATCGAGCAATCCTAATTGAACTCTGAGGCCGCGGATGTTTGTGTGGAGTAATGTGGTGATTTAATTTGAATAATTCTGAATGTCAAAGGCTGCTTGTGTTATTAATAAGGTGAGCGCTGTGGAGAAGTGTCCCGTGGCTCCAGACCTTCTTCTGCTTTCTTCAGGTCACCTTAACGACTCTCATTGTCCATGCTGACTTCTGTGTCGATGTTGTTGCTCCTTCGTCAGACGTTTCTCTTAAAACTCACATTGAGGTCTTTGACTGATTGCAGGCTTTAGTAAAGAGATCACAGCTGATTAAATGCTTTCCTACAGCAGAAGCGTGCTGCGTTTCAGATTGTTTTTAAGGATGCTGCTCGTTCCAAGCAGCTGAAGGGCTTCCATTTTGACGGTCGAGTGATCTGAGCTACAAAATGGACCGGACGAGGCCGCTGAAGGAGGCAGAAACTCACAGAAGCGCTGGACTTTAGAGCCGTCCCTCAGGCATCGAGACACACAAAAGCCAATTGAAATGGTCCAGTGGATGCTTTCTTGACGTGATGCATTGGTTTCTGGAGTCTCACACACACATTCACTCTTATCTAAAGAAGCCATAGGTTATATAATGTTATAAACAGAGCCTCGGGTTAAGAGTGACTGCGTGCTGCGTTTATTTACGTAACCTCGTTTGGGTCATAATTAGTTGTGCTGCATGCTTTGTGTGTTTTAATTGCCTAACAGTTTGAAGAAGAATATTTGTCTGATAAATGAATACTATATAGACTCTGGACCCTAACTCTGCGCACAATCGTCAAGATTCATTATGAATTCACTGAACTATGCATTTAATACACTATTCAGTCGCAATAGAAACCCGGTGAACACTTAAGAATTGTCTATGTTTTACAGCTGCATGATTTTGGGGGAATTAATTTAATTGTGATTTTTAAAAAAAAAACATTGTCAATGCAATTTAAAACACCTTTTTTTTTGTGATTTGTACATTATGCGTATTATGTTATAACTGAATGATAATAGTAATAATGCAATTGTTGTTGCATCTCATACGCGTCTCTCAGTTATTCTGAGACCACAAGATGAACTTTTCTCTCCTCAGCGGTGTCGGGGCTGATCTGGCATGATTTAAGAGTTTTAAGAAACTTACGTGACACGCAGTAAAAACCGGCTCATCCTGACACGTTTGTTATTATCATGATGATATTTTGAGTCTTATGTGACGGTGAGAGGAGTTTTATAACAATGGCTCTCAACCAGGCATCCACAGTGATGCATATAAACTAAAATAACAATTTATTTATATTAATAATATAAGATGTTTTTGAATGTTCTGCTCACCAAGGCTGCATTTATTTGATTAAAATGCATTCAAAAATGCTGTAAAATAGTGAAATATTATTTTAATGTAAAACAGCTGTTTTCTATGTGAATGTGTTAAACTGTAATGTATTCCTGTGATGCACAGCTGTATTTTCAGTCTTCAGTGTCACATGATCTTCAGAAATCAGTATAATATTTTGATTTGCTGCTCGAGAAACATTTCTGATTATTATCAACGTGCTGGGCAATGTTATATCTAATATTTTCCGACGTTAAAAAAAAGAAATGAATGCTCTTGTTAATCAAGGATGCATTAAATGGCATTTATAATGTTGCAAAAGATTTCTATTTCAAATAAACGCTGTTCTTCTGAACTTTCTGTTCATCTGCAAATCCTGAAAAATAAAATGTGTCCCAATTTCCACAAAAATATTGTGCAGCACAACTGTTTCCAACATGGATAATAATCAGAAATGTTTCTTGAGCAGCAAATATCAGAATGATTTCTGATCAGTTAATGTTACAGTGTAACTTGAAGGTGCGCCTTCAAGTCAAAAAGGTTGAGAATCACAGCTGTTGTTTGCAGCGAGTTCGTCGGTGTTGTATTCTCTCTTCGTGTCTGATGATCCAGCAGTATCTGCTGCTCTGTGCTTCTGCAGATGTGTCTGGAAACATTCAGCCTTCTGTAGACGGCT